GGACATTAATGCTCAATTTAAGTCATTTTACAAAAATTTGTATACCTCAGAAGCAGGTACAGGGAGTCAGTTCAATTCAATTTTATTAGTGAACTGGAAAGCGCCTTAATTCATAGACAATCAGAATTGGAAGGGAATATAACCCTAACAGAGACACTTTTCAAATAATGAACGCAGGCTCTAGGAAGGCAAGGAAAAACTGCCTGAGTTAACATTAATTACAGACACAGCAACAACAGTAGCAACAACTACACTAATAATAGTGACTGATGATGATGAACAGGTAGAAGATTGTTGCGACTATAAAATTCTAACCAAGGTATTGGCTGGTAGGCTTGAGAAAATTATGCCTAGGACAGATCCTCCAGGCTCAGACAGGTTTTAGTGTAGGTAGTCATCTATCAACCATGTTGGGGTTTCAGACATGATAGAAATAACAATGTTGAGCCAGAGCTAATATATCTTGGATGCGACAAAAGCATGACATCGATCAGTAAAGTGCACTAGCAGCAACAGATTTTTATTTCTGTTCCAAGCAATACCAGTCTTTATCCCTAAATCCTCTTTTAAGGACTTAGATAAGCTCATATCTACTTTTATCTGGAATAAAAAAGTGGCGGTCTGTCTCTACCCAATTTTTTGTATTATTACTGGGCGGCCAACATCCACAAATTGATGTTCTGGGTCTCTGATGTATTAGATGATGAATCTCTGGTCTGGTGCCAAATGGAACAGTATTCAAGTAATCCTGTTTCGCTTTGCTCTTTAATTTGTTCCCCACTACCCCTAAGTAAACGTTGTTGGACCAACAACCCAATCATTTCTGGCTGTCTGAAGATATGGTCGCAGTTTAGGATTCATTTTAAGCATAAACAAACTCTTATCACCTCCCCTATTCTAGCAAACATCAATTTTGCCCCATCTGTCACAGACCCATCTTTTCAATTGTGGCATGGGAGAGGGATTACATTTTGTGAAATTGTGACAATTTTAAGGAAGGGCACTTTCTTTTGAACAGTTAAAGTTATCTTTGATCAGGATTTGTCTTTTAACTCCCCCATGAAGCAGACCTCTGGGACTGCCTTCTTTCATTTACGTAATATTACAAAAATTAGACACATCCTATCACAGACAGATGCAGAAAAACTAATCCATGCATTTGTTACTTCAAGGCTGGATTACTGCAACTCTTTATTATCAGGTTGCCCCAATAAGTCCATTAAAACGCTCCAATTAATTCAGAACGCTGCAGCACGAGTACTGACAGGAACTAGAAAAAGGGATCACATCTCTCCTGTACTAGCTTCTCTGCACTGGCTCCCTGTAAAATGTAGAATAGAATTTAAAATCCTCCTCCTCACCTATAAAGCTCTTCATGGTCAGGCCCCTTCATATCTTAAAGAGCTCATAGTACCCTATTACCCCACTAGAACACTACGTTCTCTGAATGCTGGGCTACTTGTGGTTCCTAGTCTCTAAAAGTAGAACAGGAGCCAGAGCCTTCAGTTACCAAGCTCCTCTCCTGTGGAACCAGCTTCCAGTTGTGGTTCGGGAGGCAGACACCCTCACCACATTTAAGAGTAGGCTTAAGACGTTCCTCTTTGATAAAGCTTATAGTTAGGGCTGGATCAGGTGAGTCCTGAACCATCCCTTAGTTATGCTGCTATAGGCCTAGACTATCGGGGGATTTCCCATGGTGCACTGAGCTCCTCTCTTCCTCTCTCTTTCTGCACTCATTCATGTTCCATTAATGCATGTTACTAACTTCACTTCTTCCCCGGAGTTCTTGTGCTTTCTCGTCTCGCAGGTTCTTATCGATCCTGGTGGAGCCTCCCGCCATGGTCCTGCTAGATTGCCATTGCCAATACTGTTGTTGCTGTGCACCTGTCTGTCTGTCTCTCTCTCTGTCTCTCTCTCTCTCTCGCTCTCTCTCTCTCTCTCTCTCTCTCTCTCCCCAACTGGTCGAGGCAGACGACCACCCACCTAGAGCCAAAGGATCTGTCCTAGGTTTCTGCCTTTTAACAGGCAGTTTTTCCTTGCCCTTGTCTCCAAGGTCTTGCTCATGGTGGTACTGTTGGGTCTCTGTAAATAATTTTTTAAAGAGTTCGGTCTAGACCTACTCTATTTGAAAAGTGTCCTGAGATAACTTCTGTTATGAATTGGCGCTATACAAATAAAATTGAATTGAATTGAATTAAAGAAAGACTTCAGTATCCCTCAGTTAGATTTCTTTAGATACCTGCAAGTACGGAGTTATGTTAAAACACACTTCTCTTTAACAACCCCTCAGAGTACATGGATAGATGAATGTTTGAACATGGATCCAGTTGACAGAAGTCTGGTGTCTGTGTTATATGATAATATCCAGAGAATTGCCGTCATACCACTTAATCGTTTAGCAAGGCTATGGGAGGAAGACTTAAGAACCACCATATCAGATGTAAACTGGCAGGCAGCAATTACATTGGTACACTCCTCATCAATATTTATCGACATGGGTTGCTGCAGTTTAAGGTTTTGCACAGATTACATTTATCTGCAAGTAAGCTAGCCAAACTTTACCCTGGTTTAGACCCGACTTGCATCAGATGCTGGCAGTAGCCTACCCAGCTAGCCTCAGTCACATGTTTTAGTTATGCCCGAAACTGACTCTATTTTGGATAGGTATATTTAATACATTTTCATATATGTCTAATAAAGTTATTAGTCCCAACCCATTAACTGCATTATTTGGGGTCATCCCTCAGGAGACACCAAAAACAAGGCACCAGGCTGAGGCTATAGCATTCTCCACCCTACTGGCTCGACGTCTGATACTCTTTGGTTGGAAGAAGGTTACACCCCTTCTTATAGCCGTTAGGTGGAGGAGGCAATGTGCCATCTCAAACTAGAACAATTCAAATACACTGCCCGGGTCACTACCCATCGATATTATAAAGTTTCCTCCCTTCCCTCAATACTCCATATAGTGTAGCCTTAGTCTTAACCCCCCCCCTTGTTTGTATGTAACTCTGTATGCAGTTATGTAAGTATATATAAATGTGTGTATATGTGTATGCATAGCTACCTTGTGTATACTGAGTCATTTATGTTTATTTATTTTTTTCTGGGGTATTGAGTACTACTGTGAGTTATATAATGTGAAAATCAATAAAAATATTGGAATAATTTTATATACTGTACGTTAGCTAACATTACTGCTAAGCTTTTGGAACATTATAACGTTAGCTTGATTGTTAAGCAGAATCAGAATCAGAAATACTTTAATAATCCCAGGGGGAAATTACTTGAAAAAATAAGAACGTACAAAAAGAGAATAAAAGTTAAGAAGTTAAAAAAGCGGACTCAAAGGCTGGAGCAACGTAACAGGCAGCAAGCAGCTTTTGCGCATGTGCACTCTTTTTTGAATGTGAACCAAAATAGTCTACTGTCTTGATTGGATCACAGCTAATTCATCTATTAGCTCCACACACCAATAATAATAATAATAATAATACATTTTATTAAAAAATTTTTTTTTAAAAAAAAAAAAAAAATTAAAAAAAAAAAAAAAACACATAAAAGCAGCCAAAACATCAAAAGTAAAACATTAAAAACACATCAGACTTGCTAAACATTAAAAGCAATTTTAAAAGGTGAGTTTTTAGTGATTTGAATGTTGGAAGTCCGGTTGTTCCAAGCTTGGAAAGAAGACTCACAAGAGGTTGACTCCCGCAGGGGGGATGCCTGTGCCAGCGTGGTTTCCATGGGAACACAGCTGATGAAAGTGGGCGTGGTTTCATCTAAACTCGGTTGTAAAAATGACAGACTGGTTGTAGCTGCTTACTGGTGTTTTTACTGTGTTATCAGAGTGAGAGGACAGCAGATTGGATTAACAGAATGAAGTCAGAGGAGATGATGGAGGGAAGAGACACGACATGAGAGGACGACAGGACTGTTTGTGTTGATGGAGCTGATAAAACAAACAGCTGAGTGTGTGTGTGTGTGTTTATATTAGATTGTACTGCACACACACACTGTAACAGCGGCCATTAATCACTGGGCTTGTACGTCAGAGAGGGGTGGATAGATGGATGGGCTGCTTGTCCTTGTCTCTGTCAGGACTTTTCCTTCACAGCAGAGATTCAGACATTGAAAACTAAAGTGTAAAAATGAACACAATTTTATATTGATTGACTAATTGATTAAGATGAATTAATTCTGTTGATGAATAAAAAGCTCCAAGATGTCTGTGTGTATTTTGCTAACATTAGCTAACTTAATAAAGTTAGCAACACACTAGCTAACCTGCTACATATATAGTCACATCTTAAATAAGCTAATGTGAGAGATATATACATATGTATATATCTCGGGTGCTGTCGGGTTCTCCAGGTCAGGTGAGCAGGAGTTGAAGGAGGTGGCAGGTCGCTTCAGTCCAGGTGATTGGAACTACTACTACTAGCTACTACTACTAGCTGTAAGCACAGTTTAACCATTAGCGATGCCATCTTGGAAGAAAATTAGTCTGCAGTTGACCTGAACTCTTTAACCTTTAATGAGACATCTGTCCATCTGTTCATCAGTCCACAGACAGACACTATCGGTCTATTCAAGGGACAAAAACAAAGAAAACAGGTTGTTCTTATTGATTCCGCTGGAGCTCCACAGACGGACAGTTCATCTAATTGGCTGACTGTGAGATGCTTCACTGCACTCAGGAAATCAGATTCTTTCTGAGCTTTAGAGTCCAGTTGGATCAACACATTTATACAGTGTGTGTGTCCTTTAAATAACTTCTCTGTGGATGTGAATTAATTTCAGCCTCCAGAGATTAAAGTCTGAAGGTTTAATGAGACACACTGTGAAGCTGTCGAACTCTTCATGCGTTGTTTGCTTGCTCATGGTGGGAACTGTTGGGTAAATCATTAATAAGCATTGCAGTGTGTCTATCTGAAGATTATATAATAATATATCTGCTGTTAAGTTCAATAATGAATGAACTTGATGTGCGTCTGCAGGAGTGATGGGTTCGGTGGAGATGGACGAGTTCGGGGACAGACAGATGGACTTTGCTGTGTGGGACATGACGGACGTCGATTCTGGAGAGTTTCAGGTAAAACCATGACGTCGTCACCGTGATGTCACACACCTGAGAGACGAGTTTAAAACCTTGAACATCTCTCAGGATTACTCGTGATTTATTTCAAACTGATCCACTGACTAAATAGGTCCACATCTGGTAGATCAGACCTATTTTCACTGAATAATAACAAAGATAAACACTTTGCATTTCCTATAGCTCCTTCACAATAAAAGCCTGGTGCTCAGTGGAAAGCTCTAAAGGCTCTCATACACCAAACTGATGCAGAAGTAGCGGCGACAAAAGCCAACTAACTATAAGCTTTATCAAAGAGGAACGTCTTAAGCCTACTCTTAAATGTGGAGAGGGTGCCCAGAACCACAGCTAGAAGATATGATCTCTTTTCCTAGTTCCTGTCAGTACTCGTGCTGCAGCGTTTCAAATTAATTGGAGCGTCTTAATGGACTTATTGGGGCAGCCTGATAATAAGTAATTGCAGTAATCCAGCCAACAAGTAACAAATGCATGGATTAGTTTTTCTTTGCGTATCATCTGCATAACAATAAAAGTTAAAGGAGCGATTCCTAATAATCTTGCCTTAAGGGAAGCATATATAAAGTAAATAGTATTGGTCCGAGTACAGAACCTTGTGGAACTCCATGACTAACTGTAGTATTTATGGAAGATTCATCTTTAACGTGTACAAACTGCGAACGATCTGAGAAATATGAATTAACCAGCTTAGTGCGGTTCCTTTAATGCCAATTTGATGCTCAAGTCTCTGTAAAAGAATATTATGGTCAATGGTGTCAAATGCAGCACTAAGATCTAATAATACAAGCATACAGCGGAGACAAATCCATTGTCGGAAGCAATCAAAAGGTCATTATTAACTTTAACCAGAGCTGTCTCTGTGCTGTGATAAACTCTAAATCCTGACTGAAAATCCTCAAATAAGGTATTGTCATATAGAAAGTCACACAACTTTTTGGCGACTACTTTCTCCAGAATCTTAGAGAGGAAGGGGAGGTTAGAAATCGGTCTATATCAATTGTACAAAAACGCAACTTTGTCACTCAACTGAATGGACTCACTGAGAATGAGCTGTTAATCACAAGGTAGCCCCACCCTTTAAGCATCCCCTGCTTTATGGTCTATGCTGTATGGAAGACTCAGTGCTATCAGAGTGGATCCCCCTGCTGGCTGTTAGAGAAAATGCAGCTTTAACTTCACAGACAGGTCAGAAATGTTCATGGTGTTGTGTGTGTGTGTGTGTGTGTGTGTGTGTGTGTGTGAGAGCAGGTGGTGTGTGTGTATAACAGCAGTATGAAACAGCTGGTCATGCAGAGTGGGTGGAGCTTCCAGTGGCCAGGTGGCTCTCCACCTGCTGACGTCCCAGAGTGCGGATTCAAGAACGACAAACCAGCCTGCCTCGCGCGTACGTCTTCTTCTGCAGTTACCTTGAATACAGATCAATAAAATAATTAGTTACAATATTACTTTTACTGAAATCAATAATCCGATCACGACAAACATCATCAGTCTGAGTAGAGTAACTAATTACTATTCTAACAATATTACACTACAGGGACAGTCACCATGCATCAGATGGTTGCCATAGTGATCTGCTTCGTCCTCGTCATCATCGTCACCGTGACCGTCTTCATCTACAGGTAAAACACACGCACACACACACACACACACACACACACACACTTTGTCCTTGTATGAGGACACAGCACCTCTCTCTCTCTCTCTGTCTGTCTGTCTCTCTCTCTCTCTCTCTCTCTCTCTCTCTCTGCATGATGTAACACTGTACATATTGCCAAAGTAAGCGTTTGGAATTTAAAAAAAAATAATAACAATAAAGGAAAACAATATTTACAATAAATTAATTATAATCTATACTGTTGGTAATACTGTAACTATGATTGACTCAATCATAATCACAGTCACAATCAATCAATCTCAGTCAATAAATAATTAATTACAATGAATGAATCAATTAATCAATCAATCAATCAGTTTGTGTCAACAAAAAATGTCATTAAGGGGTCACGTGATGTTGTCACCCTGAGCAGTCGACCGTTACTGAGCTCCCGCTGCTACTGAGCTATATTTGACTATTTACTTAATTTAAAAAGAAAGTTACAACCTTAAATGTTTGCTTAACAACATCCAGACAACATGCCTAACACTAAAGCCCCCAAACCCGCGGCAAGTAAGCCTGCTGAGGAGCCAGAAGCGAAAAAGACCGCGCCAGCTAGCAAGGGTGCTACACCACCTGGTGTGGATACTGAGACCCTCGCTTTGGAAATATCCCAGAATGTCGCTGAGAAAATATCTACTATGATGGAGAGGAAGTTTGAAGATTTCTCAGCAACATTGGACAATATCACAACACGACTGGAGTCCAACACAAAACGCATCAGCGAAGCTGAGAGCCGTGTATCGGAAGTGGAGGCCATGCAGTCGAGGTTAAAGGGCTTGGAGACCAAAGTGCGCGTCCTGACGGAGAAGAGCATTGATATTGAGGGACGTAGCCCCAGAGACAACGTTTTAATCTACAACCTCAAAGAAAATGCGGAGGGCCGACAGCCGGTTACATTTTTTGAGAACTGGCTACCCACACTGCTGAGCCTGGAGACCAAGCGGGGTATCATTAAAATTGACCGTGCCCACAGGACCCTCGGCCCGCCAAAGCCTGATCGGCCCCGCACAGTGATCATCAAGCTGCACAACCCGAGGAACAAGGTGAGGATCCTCGCTGCGGCCAAGGGGAAAGGACCGCTGACACATGAGGGACAGACCATATTCATCTGACAGGATCTGGCGAGCGGAGTCAAAGAAATGCGACGTGCGTTTAATGGTGTGTGCCAACAACTTATTAACATGAACGTACGGTTCTCCATGCGCTTCCCCGCTACTCTGAGTTTCTCCCACGGAGGGAAAAGTCACTCTTTTCACTCACCGAAGGATGCGCTCGCCTTCCTGGACGGACTGAGCTGAACTGGAGGTGATGTGGAATTTAAAAAATACGTAATGCCTTGCTGATTGCAGACACTGCCAATCCTCTGATAACTTATGTAAAGCACGCTGCAATTAAGGCTGGTGATTGGTTCATGTTAAGCAGGTCGTTAAAATATAACCATGTTTAGTTCAGATGGTTGTGATCATTTTAGCTCGTGGTGAGCGGGGGAATAGAGAGGATTTTTTTTTCTTTCTTTCTCTTTTTCAGTGATGTTTTTGCTCGGTTCCACGTGCCCCGCTAGTTTTTCAACGGGCCACACTGCTGGCCTGTACCGGGATACGGGGAGGTGGGGTGGTCCGGGAGGGGGGGTGTTCTGGGGTTACTTTTTCTGGGCGTTTGCTGGGATTTCATCGTTTGGGGATGAATACTTTGTTCGTGACGTTCCGTCATTTTCATTTCTTTATGCCATCATATATTTGAAGCCTTCCATACTATATTTCATAGAGCTGTCCATGTATCCATTTGTCTGTGGTAAAAACACTGAGCCCCTCTGCTGTGCCATAAGGCTTTCCACTGGATCACACAAAAATGTTTTTTATTTTTTATTTTTATCATGTTATGAGTGACCTTAAAATAGTCTCCCTTAATGTTAAGGGATTCAATAATGTCGTTAAAAGACAAAAGATCCTTGCTTTTCTGAAAAAGGAGAAAACTCAAATAGCCTTATTGTCAGAAACTCACTTAAATGACTTGGAGAATCTCAAATTGAGGAGGTCCTGGGTGGGACAGGTGTTTTATTCATCTTATAACACAAATAGCAGAGGTGTAGCTATATTAATCCACCGCAGTCTCCCATTTACCTTAGAGACAACTATAAAAGATAATGATGGCCGCTATGTCCTCATCTCAGGTAATCTTTATGGGGAACAGATTCTCATAGGTTGCATATATGGCCCAAATCCATATGATTCTGCCTTTTTCCCTAAGCTTTTATCTGAGGTCTCATCAGTATCGTCCCCATATGTTGTATTAGGGGGCAACTTTAATTGTGTGCCTGACCCAAGCGTTGACCAGTCCCCACCTAAGTCTAGCCCAACCTCTCGGAAGAGCCTTAGGCTGAAAGAGTTCTGCCATGATTTAGAGCTGTTTGACACTTGGAGAATAACTTATTCCAGGGGGAGAGATTATACTTTCTTTTCCAATCCCCATCAGACATTTTCAAGAATAGATTTTTTCCTGTCGTCCAGAATGGTTTTTGATAGGGTAAGGGAGTGCTCAATTGGTATATGCTCACTTTCTGACCACTCTCATGTAAGTTTGAGCATCCGCCCTCCTTACATTGATCCCTCCTCTCGCCACTGGAGGATGAAACCCTCTCTATTGAGTAGTCCACCATTCATTGACTATATTACTGAACAGTGGAATGTTTTTATTGCTGCTAATAAGACTCCAGACATCAGCCCTTCTCTGCTGTGGGAAACTGCTAAAGCTTATCTTAGGGGGAGTATTATTTCGTACACCACAGCTCAGAAGACTGCTATGAAAGAACAACTCAATTTAGAGAATACAATACAACAGCTCGAAGTACAATTTAAAGGTGCACCTTCTAGAATTTTGTCTAAAAAATTGGAGGCAGCTCGTTCAGCCCTTAACCAGCTGCTAACTAGAAAGGCTGAATCGGCCATCTTCTTTGCTAAGCATAGGCTTTATGAGTCAGGAAACAAACCTGGTCGTCTCTTAGCAAGATTGGCAAGAGGTAGAATGGAGGCAAATACGATACCGTCACTGCTGGATGACAATCAGGTTAGACACTACAAAACCAAAGATATCAATACAATAATGAGGCAATTTTACCAAAAGCTTTATTCATCTGAATGTGAATTATCCGAGGGGAGGAGAAAGGAGTTTCTTGATAGGGTGCCCCTCCCATCCTTGTCGGAGGAACAAAAGGAAAAATTAAATGTACCAGTGACTGAGGAGGAGGTCCGTGTAGCCATAGCATCCCTCAAGGGTGGAAAGGCACCAGGACCTGATGGATTTTGCCCGGAATTCTACAAGAAATTGAGTCACCTGATAGCCGGACCACTTACTGACATGTTTTCAGATTCCTTTAAGATTGGTCACCTCCCTCCAACGCTTAATCTAGCAAATATCACACTTATCCTTAAGAAAGATAAACCACCTGATGCCTGTGGCTCATTTAGGCCCATTAGCCTTTTTGGTGTGGATAGTAAATTGCTATCAAAACTGCTCGCAACAAGACTGGAAAAGTTCCCGCCGTCTTTAATAAATCCAGACCAGACTGCATTTATACAGAACAGGCTCTCCCTCATAAATGTGAGGAGACTATTGAATGTGATACAGTACTCAAGTCAGACAAAGTATAGAGGACTTGCTGTATCTTTAGATGCCGAAAAGGCGTTCGATTGGGTAGAGTGGGAATATTTGTTTGATGCACTGGAGAGGTTTGGGCTGGGAGGGGAATTTCTCAAATGGATTAGGATACTCTACAACTCTCCACAGGCCTGCATTGTAACTAATGGCACACAGTCATCGCCTTTCCCTCTTTGTAGGGGGACGAGACAGGGCTGCCCCCTGTCTCCACTGCTCTTTGCGCTGGCACTTGAGCCCCTGGCCGAGGTAATTAGGCAACATAAAGACGTGCATGGGATGACAGTGGGAGGAACAGTTCATAAGATAGCACTTTATGCCGATGACAACCTGTTGTTTCTGTCAAAACCTGACATATCAATACCAACTATTCTCTCTATTATTCAGGAGTTCAGCTCCTTCACAGGCTACAAGATCAACTATGGCAAATCAGAGGCCATGCCATTGGGTGGTCCGGCTGATCCGTCTCTATCCACCAACTGTCCCTTCAAACTGTCTCCCACAGGCTTCACCTACCTTGGGATAAAAATTTCACCAAACTTGACAGAGCTATGGAAGCTTAACTTCTCTCCCATAGCAACTAAAATAAAGAAGGACTTAGATAGATGGCACGATCTCCCCCTATCTCTTATGGGCCGCATTAGCTTAATCAAAATGAATGTATTCCCCAGGTTATTATATCCCTTACAAATGCTACCCTTATGGATCTCCAAGAAGGTTGCTCATGATATAGAGAGAGCATTCTCTAGATTCATATGGCACGGCAAGAGACCCAGACAGAAAATGAAAACATTACAGCTGCCCTCCGACAGGGGAGGCTTGGGCCTGCCGAACATAATTCTTTACAACTGGGCATGCCACGCTCGCTTCCTGTGGGAATGGTTATATGCTCATCTTGAGTCCAAGCCCTGTCTAGATTCATGGTCCTCTCTGCCATCCTCGCTATGGAGCTTGGTCATGAGTGATAAGAAAAAGCTACACAAGGATATCAAGAATAACCCGATTATATACAACACAATTGGAGTGTGGCAGGAAATCTGTAAATACTTAGACAGAGGAAGTTATGCCTCATTCTTAACCCCTATTACGAGGAACCTGGATTTCCCCCCAGGTCTCCATCCCAATGTTTTTGACATGTGGCATGGCAATGGGGCGCGTGTGATTGGAGATTTGTACCACGATAGGATATTAATGACTTTACAACAATTGCAGTCCAAATTCAGTATCCCTAAAGAACATCATTATGGTTTTCTCCAGGTCAGGCACTTTGTTGGATCCAAGACCTTACCCCCTCCTGATCTAGTCATGTAC